CCGCAAGAAAAAAATATCCCTGGGCCAACGTCAAAAAATCCCTAGTTATCCCTAGTCCGTGTTCTAATAATCCCTCCAATTATCCCTCTTCATCAAATCTAGATAACTTATTATTTTTGCAGCAATACCAATGGATATCATGTATAGCCACCTAAAATATGGTAACTGGTGATATTATTCTTCAATATCCCATATTATTTATAAAGTGATACTATACAAAAAAATTTTTGCACCATTAAAACCACGGCCAACTTTAACCACTGAGCTATAATAATAATCTTTAACTCCAGGCAGGCCGCGGCCTGGTAGAATTGGCAACGTTGCAAGTACCGCAGTATTGTTTAGCGCCAGACGTCCCATAAGTTAACATGGAAATAAAACATAATATATAATCGAAAACCAAAACAATATAAATTGAAAATCTATTTCTGTACATTCAATGTGGAGTCAACATTTCCATAGCCCAGTAACCAAGCTTTCGTATTCTTAAAAAATACACAAATATCATTAGCTTAGTGTTCTCCAAACAAACAGCTATACTTGAAAACGTTGCCATTTCGAAGGCTGCGGCCTCCGGCCTGGAATTAAAGGTAGCCGTGATTAAACTGTCTATGTGGTAAAAAACAAGATTAATTAACTAAAAAATGAAACAAATAGTTATTAATTTTAGAAACTAATAATTTTCATTTATAAGTATTTAAAATTGTTTCAAAAATATTCCTCAAGTGTCCAAATTTCAAACTTAATAGTCTTTTTCAAACATGGCCACCATGCCTTGGTGAAAAGGTTACACCAAGTTACTTACTAACCAAAAAAACAAAATCACCGGCAAACAAAATCAAAACGAAAACAAACATTCGACATTGACACAGGGCACAGGGCTACTAAGAAACAAAAATGCAGTAATCTAGATCCTCCATTCCAATCTCTAGCCCTGTTCCATTCCACCGACCGACTCCAGTCCTCCGCTTGTTTCGTGCAGTGTTGGATGTTACTCTTCCTATTGTGTGTACCGACTTTGAAAAATTAGCCTTGCAAAATTAGCCAAAATAGGTCCTTAACGTTGTTGAAATACAGCCATAATGTATTATTTTATCAATACTTAAATTTTATAATGGTAAAGGCCTAAAATCCCTAGAAAATCTAAAAAATCCTTCAATTTCGCTGATTATCCCTAGTTATCCCTCAATCCCTTTTCAATCCCTCGAAGGCCCTAAATATCCCTAGAAAGGGATTTTTATCCCTCAAATGGAAACACTGACTGACTGAGACTGACTCAATCTAATCTACTCTACTTCGAGTTTTATTCATGATCAGCTGATGAGGAGTAAAAAAGATTTTTCAAAGACTCCCAAAGTGATTTTACTTAAGACACTATGGAAAAAACATTATACACAGGGAGGGCAATAAAGTGAGTATTTGATTTAGTAGATTATTGGTAGCTGATTATAAAATAAATAAATTAACCAAGTTTGATCAAAATCTATCTATATTTATAAAAGAGGAACTATGTATGTATGTATGTTCTGTTTTTCCAACGGTTGCTGAAATATTGGCAAAAAGGTGAAAGGTAGCACAGCATGCACGGATGTTGATTTTTGATACTGTATGTTGTTACTGGGTACTTGTACTACACATGTGCACAGTTTCGCCACTAACTTCCATCTAAAACCCTAATATGACTGGGCTAGTAAAAGAGCTACTTTAGGCCTGTAAAGCATGTAAACGGCTTTTGTTTAATTAACTTTTATCCTTCTACAGATGCTTACGTATCATACTGTTATTGTAGAGTTGTATTTCATTTACGGTTTCAGAGTGGTTCAGGGATTGGCGCATTTTTCAAGGTCTTCGTCTACGGAACCCTCAAAAGAGGAGAACCCAACCACCATTGGTTAACAAAGCCTGAAAATGGAACTGCAAAGTTTGTGGGAGAAGGGAGAACTGCAGTGAAGTACCCTCTAGTGATAGCCTCCAGATACAACATCCCCTTTCTGCTGGATGTTCCAGGAACAGGGAATGTAAATACAGTAGCCAATAATAATTTACGAAAATTAACACTTTTTGAGATTTTTTATTCACAAATAAATGTGATGTGATTCAGCATTTCTTTGTCGGTGATGGGTAGCTGAGTGGTTATAGTGCTCGCCTACTAATCAAAAGGTCGCCGGTTCGATCCTGAGAAAAGTCAGTAGCTTTTTGATGGTTCGAAACTGGACCCAGCTGTTCCTGATCATTGGGCTTTAAATAAATGATCCTGGCTAATGAAACAGCTGATCTTAGTCAGTAACAAAGCTACACATATCATCTCACGCCATTCTACACTCATCCTTCACTCATATTTGGGCTAAAATACGCACCTAAGTGGCGTCCCCATCTTAATGATTGATAATATGATAATTGGTAATGGTAAAGGCACTCAAGAAGACCTTAATTGTAAAGACGACTGTTATTTTTGATCAAGAAAAAATTTTCTTAGTCCATTATACCCTACTAAACACAACTTGTTCAATACTATTACATTTTTGTACACGTAATCCCTTGGATTAGAAACAAATCCTTATGCAAGTGAAATTACAAATCAAGACTCAATTTACAATTACAATGTGCATTTTTGATATTTTGTTTCCATAATATTACAGTTTTGGTGTCATATTTTGTGTTATATTCAACTTGTGTTTAAGGAATAGTACAGTTAGTTTTAATTTTGAGACTAAAGTGAATTGTATGTATATGATTACCATTCTTGAACACATTTCTCCACATTATTCATTGGATGTTAGAATATCCTATGCATATTGGATCAATCGATTGTCATTTAAATCTTCCCTTTTTGAAAAACATAAATTGGTCAAACACATTTTGTTTGTTTGTTTGTTTACAATGTCACCCTCATTGGATGATTGAAGCAAAAATAGATAAAATAAATCTCCTTTTTAATGTTTTCTTTAACGTATATTTTTTTCATTGCATGATTTCCAATGCAACGTCCAACGTCATCGCTATCGGAATTAATGGATTAAAAGCCCGTTTATTCATGTTGCCCATAATCCATTGAAATTCAACGTATTTTTTTATATTTAAATTCATTTTCCCATTAATAACTTATTTTGTAAACCCAGTGTCGAGTAATTACACATTTTAATTATCCCTTCCACCCCTTGTCACAGAACATTCAGGGAGAGGTGTATGAAATAGACGACAAGATGCTTTCCAACCTGGATATCCTGGAGGATTATCCCACCTACTACACCAGGAGAAAGGAGAGTATCCTGCTGGATGACAGGGAAGAACACTGCTGGACATACTTCCTTAACGGACACAAGCCCAGTATGCTGCAGCTGCCCATGATGACGTCATACTCCTCAGCTGGGGACCATGGGTTGGTCTACATGGAGAGGTACAAGAGAGACCCCGCGTATGACTTTAAAGTTGAAGTCATTCTAGGCTATAAGGCTGCTTGAAAATGAATTTCTAGATTTTTTATGAGTTATTAATAAATATTCATAGTTAACGTATACTTCATAGTGCATAGTTAACGTATACTTGCTATGTCTCTGACTCTGATACAAAATTCTTTGAATCGAATTTTACCAAATCTAGTTGAAATAATGCAAATTTACATTTCGTTTAAAAGCGGGTATAGCCTAGCCTTTAGGGAGTAAATATTAACTATTGACAGCTCAGTTGTAAATATCGACGGTAAACAATTGCATGTATCGAAAGTATGTACCGATTTTAGCTTATTTCTGCCTTATTGTAAATATTTCGACTAATCGATAGTATAATGTACACTGACACAATTGTAATAGTTTAAACGATTAAATCACTTACTAAACAGCTTCTTGTTTACAATAGCAAATTAAATTGAAAACAAGTTAGAAGTACTGTAGTCAGAAGTACTGTATTTTTGAGATGTTATCTTTCATTGAAAACTATTTTAGTTTTGTAACATAGTTTGTTCAAATAATGGTGCAATATGTCTAAAAATATAATTCACCACACGGGCAACCCCTCGCTCATTTTTCAACCTCGGCTTCGCCTCGTACGTAAAATTTGAGACCTAGTCGAAAAGAGTCACTTTGATAAAATATATTATTTCAGTGCATTATGGAATTCCAAAAAAGATAAAAGCTGACTATTGATAAATCTTCAGTATCAAAATAGTCAATTATAATAGTTTTCACAATCAAAAACAGTTCTTGTATTTATTTTGTAACATAAAACTATACAATAGTTTGAATATTCACATTTGAACTTTTGTTTCAGTAATAATGAGTCAACCATAGACGACGTCCTCTAAAATAACATATATACATACATGTACCTAATTTAGTGAAGACGTAGCAAATAAAATGGGGATATTTTTTAGTATACTTTGTATACCGTACAAGACGTTGGTATTTGTTATGATTTTATTTGTCTCAATATTGAATTTATACATTCCGTAATGTAACAATACATTTTTTAAATATATGACAACTGTATTTATTTATCCTTTACTCTAATATTAAACGTTTAACTGCAATGCGTAGGCTAAAACACTTGACAACTGCGAGAAAAGGCAAGGTATAGTATATACAAAGATGATGATCGATATCATAATTACTCTGTGTAGAGTAGATGAAGGGTATCCCAGAGAGGCGTGTTTTCCCGCCACCCCGCTGAAACGGAGATTTGTAATCACCTGGCCAAAGTTCTTTGCTGATTACAAGCTGTAAGCGAACACTAGGTTGTTATTTAAACAACCGGGTAATTTAGCGTCGTGTAGTTGGCTGCATTGGCAATAGTAATTGTCGAGCAGTTGGTGACACTGTTAACGAGATCTGTTTGTATGTCACCTGATATCGTAGTGAAACAAACCTTTTGATATGCGAATACCTTTCGCATTTCAGGGCTAAATTACAGAGCTTCACATACCCGACTTTGATAATGCGAACGAAACACATTCGCATTACGTGTTCAGCACAAATTATAGATGTGTATTTTCAGTAATTAACTCCGAATCGGAGTTTCAGAGTTCAAAGTAATTGGAGGTGTGGAAAATTTGCTTTTCAGCAATTAAATAATTGATACGCTGTCAATTGATTTGAGTGAATATCACTGATGCCGAATCAGGAAGAGAAGACAAATCCGAAAAATCAGTAGACTGCTAATATAAGCATGTGTTTCTTGTTTGATTAAGTGCGCTGATTTCGATTATATTTTCTTATTTCAGGCTAACATTTAAGGCGAAAGCTTGCTTAGAATCATCGTTGTAATACCAGGAGACTTAATCTTTTACATTTAGATAGCATTTAGAAAAATAAAAAAAAATAATTTGTATACTAAAAATTACCTGATAGCTTGAAAATTATTTCGTCTTTAGGAGATCAGTATGCTCCTAGAGAGTATATTTAATCCATGCTAAAAATTAAATGTTCACATACTTGTGTATATATAATCAATGACTAAAACCGACGACACCAGACGAGATGCCCCATGACTCGCCATGATATCGATACCTTCCCTCTGGCCCATCCACAGTTTGCGTTGGCACTCGGTCAACCTGCAATGGATGCCCAGGTGTAAGGCCTCTCCGAATACTATTTTCAGATACTTTTATTGTGCACTAACTAAATAAGCGGGCATATCGGATTCAGTTTGTTTGGGAACGGTGGAGAACCAAAATAACGCGGACGTTGCGAAGAAATCTGGGTTATTGGAACCGCATATATGAAGATTCAGTCAAGCAGAAGAACAAATTTATCACCTCGTAATTGAAGATTCTTGTTTAAATCATATTATGACGGTGCTTATTTAGTATTTTTAGATGTTAAGAATTAGGAACATACTGGATATTCTCCCTATCGTATACAAGAATAACATTTTCGATATTAAATCTGAAATTGCTTACACAATTTTCAAACATAATGGAAAACCTCAAATAAACAAAACAAAAGTCTTTTGGAGAAGAGATCGAGGGTCTTACTCTATTTCAAAGTCTGAAAGATAACTCTGGCTCACATTATGGATTTGCCTACCATAATGTTCTGTTCAAGTAAAATTTTATTATTAATCGAATAGCATTTGCGTTTGGTACTAATAGCTTTGACTATCCTATCCAATAGTCAATCCTAATACTGTAGCCGTATTTTTTCAGAGTATCCAAGTGTATTTTGTATTCTTCAATTAGGCCCTCCAAAACGACCGAGATCTGTCTTACTTACTTTTACTCCTGTGGCCATTGAAAGCCTTGGTGGTCTTTGGCCTTGCCAACCATGTGCCTCCAAGATCTGTCTTTTGCCAACTCCAGGTCTGCTCCCATTCTCATAAGGTCCTTTCTTGCAACCTCGTCAACGCATCCTTGGTCTTCCCAATGATCTCCTGTCCTCCGGAGTACCTATTATCATAGATAAAAGGAGTATAGACATATAGGAGTATGTCTACTTCTTTTAATCTTTAATGCTATTATCACCTGCTTTACCATTTCTCTCTAACCTCTGCGTTTGATGACCCAGCCAACTCAACTTTCTATTCTTTACTACTCCAACTATAACTAGTTTCTTATACAATTCCCTCAACTCCCTGTTTTTTCTCGACGAGTCTCCGTCTTTTATTGGTACAAAAATGCTTCTAAATGCTTTATTTTAAAAAGTAATAAGTCCTTTTTGGATTATTTTTGTGAAATACCAAGTGTTAAGTATTCTATGGTTTATTTTTCTTCACATGTTTTTTGATTTCAATATTTTTGCATATGATTATTGTTGTTTTTAAAAATAATGTTCTGAATGTTCAAGAAATACATCTAAATTTTTTACTCAATCATTTTTACTTTCATTTGTTGGTGATTTTCTCTACACTATTTAATTATCTTAACAAGTTATAAGGATGTTCTCTCTCTTCAATACTAATACATTTATTTAACCTCAAGACAAGTAATCAAGCTTATAAAGAATTAATTTAAGGTAAATCTCTATTCCTATTCTATTACAGTACGCAATAAAAAATTAATAGCTAAATTCTCTCTTCTCTAAATTCCCTTTCCCTAATCATTTCACCAAGTCTCTGAACCGTATAGCTAAGACGGTTTACACTATAAAAACAGGCTGCACTATAGTTTTTACATTCTTATTTTGGTAGCTTTTGATAGAAGTTTACTTTTGAATAATTTTATTAGGTTCTAATATGATTTTTCTGTTGCCGTGAGTCTGTTTTGAATTTGACCGAGATCTTACTTGAACCACAAGTCTTAAGATGTCATATCGAGAATGTCAAACAAATTCTAAAGCAAGGCAACCCTTTCACATCAAATTAACAGAGTGCCCCAATCATAAGAGATCTGTATCAAACCCTATCTAACACATTCACCAAAGATTTTTCTAAGCCCCCAAGTGACAATCTCAAGCCAATTCATCTCTCTGAACATCCAGATCTCTGTTCCTTACGTTGGCTCTCAACCATCGAAGTATACTCAACCTATTTCATTTGATTGTTTCAAGACCTCACTTTATCTCTAGCCTACAAGTGTCTAGTCTGGCTAGACTAGGGCATTATTTTTGCCCACATTAGAGCCAGGTGGACCCTTTCAAGGCCTCTTCCTGTTGTCTTAGGCGCCGCTGCTGTTGATAGTTGTTTCAACCCGGGTCCTCTTACTGGCATGTTTTTGTTCCTTATTTTGACGCCGCTCTCGTCATTTCTAATTGGACGTGTGACGGCACTCAAGATGGCCTCTATTAAATTTCATCTGTTGTCTCATAAGTCTTTTGTCTGTGGTAAGAATAGAATATTATTCAGCCAGTGGATGTAAGGTTTTCTCTTGGGTCATAACTTAGCCTCGCTAGATCAGAAATGTGAACACCTTCATAATTCTGGTCCATAGATTATTTTGTTTGGACAAAAACATGTTTTACATTATCTCCGTCAAATACTCCGACGATTATTCACTTGAATCGTTGGACTGCGATTTGAAACCTAGTTTTGTCTGAAATACTCTCTACCTTGCTCTTTTTTATATGTGGTTAAAAGTATGTTGAACGCCAAACCTCATCAAAGTCATATTGGATTTACTTCATTCTTATTTGCATTGGTCATTACGTAATCATTGCGAAATCCAGTATTTTAGTTAGTTGGATGTTACAATCGTTATTGTTTTCAAGGTTTATTTACTGCTAGATTGCTGCGTTATTTTTCTAGTCTTGTTTGGATTTAGTTTTCCTGTCACTGTTGCTTTCTTGAACTGCTCATGGCGTCTTTAAGTCATTACTTCCCCTTGTGATACATCTTAATCGTACGCGTACCTCGCTAGTCGCTATCAATAACCGCACAGAAATTTGATCTATGTTGACGGGCAGTTGTGGTTTAGCAGCAAAAACGACAGTCTAATAGTGACTCCATAAAAAATTAGGTTGACGATCGATATTACAGGGCCCAGGTTTTTAAGCATCCCCTTAACAAAAACCCGAAAATGTCAATTTGCGTAGATAATTGCAAAGACGATACCCATGTAAAAACCGGTAACAAATGTCAAATGTACCATCATCAACAAATATAACACATAGTAAACCAAAAGTGTTGTTCTGTTATAGTGGATTTATTTACGTGTAATCCTTACATGTTATAGGCATTAATAATTCAGCACTTTAATTCTGGCACTGCAACAGAATTAAAATCTTTTAGAAATGTAAAATATAAATATTTGAACATGTTATATCAGTGTCGTGTAGTACATTCAATGAGATACAGAATGCATAACACCGAGTCGAGACTCGAGACGACTGAAGATGGAGATGTTTGAGATGAAGCTCACACAAAAGATCGGAGAGAAGGGCAATCCAAACAAACTCCAGTCAGACGACATTCTAAATATTTATACTGTTTGTGCAGTATAATGGCGGCGCAGCACGTCGATATACTCTAGTGACGATTGGTGCACGTGTGATCTGCTGACGTATACTCTACCACTCTCTGTGTTGGTACTGCTGCCAGACGACATTCTAAATATTTATACTGTTTGTGCAGTAATGGCGGTGCAGCACGTTGATATACTCTAGTGACGAGTGGTGCACGTGTGATCTGCTGACGCATACTCTACCACTCTCTGTGTTGGTACTGCTGTCTGACGACATTCTAAATATTTATACTGTTTGTGCAGTATAATGGTGATGCAGCACGTCGATATACTCTAGTGACGAGTGGTGCACGTGTGATCTGCTGACGCATACTCTACCACTCTCTGTGTTGGTACTGCTGCCAGACGACATTCTAAATATTTATACTGTTTGTGCAGTAATGGCGGCGCAGCACGTCGATATACTCTAGTGACGAGTG